TAACCTATTATTGGTACCGTTGGATAGAGCTTGTAAAGCACTTTCAGGATCAGTAACCAGTTTTTGGATATCTTGTATAGTTTAGAAATAATCGAGTGAGATCACTTATCGTTTCCACCCTGTATATAGACAAGAACAGGTTTCCCTCTTTGTGAAAGAACATTGTTATTGGAAAAATATGAATAAAATATGTTTAAAAATTAAAATTAACAATAACTAAAATTAAAGTCACAAATAACATAATGTTGCGATTCATTTCCTGACATACTATTACCAACGCACTTAGGTAATTAGCATTAACTTTATATTGATTAGTTAATAAAGAAGAGTGACACACGTTTAATATAAACTAAAAGCTTTTTTCCTGCTTTCAATATACACTCGATTGAAATGACTTTTCCCGCTGATATTTCCACCAAAGAACTTTGTGGGTTGAAGTTCACAAGGGAGCTGTCCTTAAACCCTTTCAGCACAGCTCCCACGCTATTTTCCTGACAGGTATATCAGCCTGCATTAGTTCCAACCCATCAACATTTTCTTATATTTTAACAATATTTTCAAGATTTATCATATCTAACTGCTTTTAGAAGCGTCTTTATCATAAATAATGCAACATCTAAATAAACTTTTCCTCATATTTTTTTAATAAAGACTAATATAAAGTATTTAGATCACGAGTTAAGCGGCACATTCATTTATAAAATGTTGATAAAAAATAGACCCTCTGCACTACGGTTAATTACGGCAACAATATTAGATTTTTAACGAGGTATTGACTCACAGCACTTTCATTATAAACAAAAATATTATATTCTCCGAATAATATCCAGCATTTGGGTAATATACCTGGTAACATTTCAGAGGTCAGGCGTGACCTCGACCTGAATTTCGCAGACAAAGGTCATGTGGGATGCAGCGAGGTAAGGCAAGCTCCATATTATTATAAAATTTAGATAAATGACGTTGCTTCCCGACAATTAACTTATTTTTCTTATCTTAGGAGAAGGCAAAAAAATTACAAATACTTTGTAGGCAGTCCGTGACTGTCCACGAATAGCAAGAATTTTCCTTTACCAAAGATAAACAATTTCAAAATAAACAATACGGAACATATAATGTTCCGTATTGTTTTATTAAAAGTAGGTATAAAAACATTTCAACAACCTAATAGTTAATTTATTTACGTTACTTAACACACTAATTAAACTCGTTTTACGGTAACGAAATAACTTAATACCAGCTTACAAAACATTAGGTGCTTATCTCTATCCATTTTTTTTGGTTACTTAAAACTCTTTAACGATTATTTGAGACTTAAGATGAAGATAAGGCGAAGATATATTGATAACTTTATAGGAATCGAGAGAAAACTGGAAAATCTCTCGACGTAGCGGAATTTCTTTAGGCCTCTTAAGAAAGGATGGATTTTCCAAGAATTTGTTAGTAGATAACATAAATTATAAAAGCGGGCCAAGAACCTTAACAGAAAGAACGATGATAATCCTAAGGAAACAAAAAGTCATCCTCACAAATTCACAAGATTCGCCGCTTTCGCTAAAAAAATAATAAACTTAAAATTTTATAGGTAAGATCATATTACTCTGGTGTTAAGCGTAAAGTAGTCAGTCACCATTATTGACAGACACCTGGCTAAATAATGGTTTGTAAGGGCTAACATAATTTTATTTGTCATTCGTTTTAAGTGAGGCTGATTCGAGGAACTTCTTTTATCGATCCTTCACAAATTTAGCGTCTAGGAGGAAACGTGTTCATTCATAACGTGGAATGACGCAAACTTTGACGCACTTAGGACGCGTTTACCTTTAAACGATTGTCATTGCATTACTTAGTACGAGCAAATAATTAGAGTTCGTAGTAGGTAATAATTCAAGTGTGCACGCACATAGGTTGAATTAGGTACATCGCATTTCGGTTTAGTCCTAAGGTGATGATATCTTGGTGTTATGAAGTTTAAGGATCAGCAGGCACGCAACTTTTCTCCAGCCTCTCACCCAGTCTACGCTAAATGTTCAACATAAATATGTAGTTAACTCGTTACCGTACCTGTACCTACAGTCTGACTTCAAAAGTATCTTTAAGTAGGTATAATAATTTCAATATTTTCTGAAAGAACTGATGATATTATAAGGTATAACGGAGTCTACGATATGATACGGCCCTCATAAACTCAAATTCTAAATACACATACTTAGATATAACTAGGTAGTCGTTACATTAACTAGAATGTCATCATTAGATACGCATGCATTGGAAGCACATAACTTAGAACATTATTTAGTACCTACCAATAACAATACTGCCCGTGCCCACATACCGTGCTGATAGATATCTTGGCGGATAACGCAGGCATAACTTACCACCTAGAGGTATTTACAGTACTACTTACCATAGGACTATTATTAATACACAAAATTATTATGTTATGGTCTCAACTACGCTTTCAACGAACAAGTGAAAATAAACTTAGATTTAGTCCTATAATTACTCGCAAGCAAGAAAAATAAAGTTTTAACTTTCGATTTTAATAAAATGTTTAGGTAAAACGTTTTATTACTTACAAAGTTGTAAAGTTGGTGGATACTTAGGTATTTGGCGTTTAGTGACTTGGTAAATAAATGCGGGAAATCCTGAACGAACGAGGTCTTTACATAAATTATCAACCGATCCATCCATTTGTAAATGGAAACGCTGAAGGAATTCGAAAACTGTGAATTTAAACTCTCTTGCAAAGATTCTCGAAGGTTAAGCCGAACTACGGCACAAAGTATGCGGCAAAGTTATGCAGAGTCAACAGTAAAGCACAATAAAGTGGCAAGTTAAAGTGACATCTAGTGTACCACTGCGGTCCCTAGAGCAATGTTTATTTCAGAATGTATTGCAGATGCGTCGTTTGTTTAGTCCCAGAGAGCGACCCAGACTTTAATAATATAGAACATAGCCCAACTTGTTGCACATAATATCCTAAGTTCATGCTATATACCTACCTACTTGTCATAATATTCGCTTCTATTCGTAGTTCAGTAGCAGACCTTAAACATCAAAGATTATCACTTCAAACATGGGCAAGTTATTTTTCTATGTGTCTAAGTAGGTATTTAATATATTTTACATACTTATATTTCTTGCTATTTAAACTTATAAAGGTATCATCGGGTGGTCTGTCCGACAGACCTATCATTACGCTGAGATACCAATCGAAATAATAACTCTATTCTGTTGTCTCACCATGTTCTTATCATGAACTCGAATTGAGTTTTCAATTTTTCATGAATTTGTAAAAAGTTCGGTCAGAGACTGCCGAAAAAAAGTCCTCTGTCCTAAGTAATTTAATCAAGTCTTGATTATAATAACCGTACAAGTGATTGACGCACCAACCAGTTACCTATTACATATATCTATTTACAAATCCTAGTCTCAATCACTTTATCTGCATGTGTATTAGCTCTACAAACTTAGGTATTTAGAGGCTGGGCTGGGGGACCAGCTAGGTAAAAAGCTAAGTATACGATTATTATTCATAATTTAGGCCGTAAATTCTACCTATTTATCTCCAAGTTTTCCCTAGATACCACTAAGTGCAATCTCGATATACGGGTAAATAATGGTCAGGGGTAAGTAATAGAGCAGGTGAGCCGTAAGTTGCAAATTGCATTCTCGGTGAGGTATACCTAGGTGATATTGTGGGGGCAGGGAGGCTCTATTGATCCCCGCCCGTCGCGCCGCGCTGTGACCGAACATGACCCTACGACCGCCCTTGTCTGCCTGAAACATCACCCTCATCTGCACTTTATATGAACGTTTGAGTATTTATTACGCACCTTATACCTGGGTAACTTACTCGTAAATCAAAAATACCAAACCATAATTTTTATACTATCATCATTTTGTTGTAGGTTCCCGTAACCTCGCATAGGTAGGTAATGAAGGTTCAACGTCTACATCTCTTCTTATTAATCTGCTATTACCGCCTAGCTTAGCTAACTATCTTAAATTGTTATCTCTTTAAAGTGAATTTTGAAATATTAATCGCTGTATCGAGCACCTAATCAATTTTTTGAAAATACTGCAACGATAATAAATGCCTACTTCAACAAACATCTACCGTAATTGCAATTTCCCGCCTTATTTATTCCGCGTTAGCGCTTTCCAGCTATTAGTATTTACTGTAAGATTACACACTGTTCTATCTCTAGGTACCTACTCAACTTCTCGTCGTTATAGGTACTTATTTGATTTATAACACGTTTAATTATTTTAACTTTCTCAATAAAGTCCGCAACTTTGTATAATATTTCCCGTTAATGCAACATTTTTCTATACTGCTCCGCCCTTGTTGGCTGTAGGTGATGTTTTATAGCCTTCCTCAAAATTTTTTTTCAAATCGGACCAGTAGGACTTAGTTCCTGTGATTAGCGCGTTCAATCAAACAAAAACTCTTCAGCTTCTAGTATAGATGGAACAAGAAAACTTTTCAGAATGTATTTTAAGTTTTATAATTCATTAAATAAATAAACAAAATTTAAATTGTATATCTACCTAAATATGTGGCAGACATTTACTTATTTTTATTGCAAAAGTAACGCTCATTTCACAGAAAACGAATAAAAGTAATAATTCCAAAAAACTTTTGCTTATTTTTTATAGCCGTCGCGCCGCCCAAAACACACGCGCCGCGCCGCCCGCCTTTGAGCGAGCGAGCAGTTCAGCTTCAGTTTAGTTTTCACGCCGGGCGGCACGGGAGTCTTATTCAGAAGCTCGTAAAGAGCGGTTGTCTGCGCTGCGTAACGTTTAGCGCGTGTCACTATCACGACACTGCTGAGCATAAACATTCACTTCAATCTACCGGTAGTTTCATGTTTCTCATTCTTATAATGTTTGATTAATTTCTCTTTGCATATAATTTTGTTAATTATTTTTTTTTAGTGTTCAGTAACCTAACATTTTTTATGATGGCAATACATAAATGCGAAAATGTCAAAATCGCTCTAAATTGACGAAAAAATTCCAAGTTTGACTTTGGCCAAATCAAGAGATTTTTACTAATTTCTTTGAAAGTGAACAAAGTAATCAATTATTTATTAATTACTTTTATTTTTAAGGGTGGAATAGTTTTCAAACAAACGTTGAACTATGGAAAACGACAGTAATAAGCCTTACAAGATATGCGATGTAAACCGAGACAAAAAGAAAGGAATTGTAGCTTCATCGCTGGAAGATTTACTTGCAAAAGTGCCGGAAAAATTAGGTCTACCTTCAGAACACCTCACAGTTGTATTAGAGTCCGATGGAACAGAAGTAGATGACGAAGATTATTTTTCCACTCTCGACCCTGATACTTCTCTTATGATTTTGCATGGTAATGAAAAATGGGCTCCTAACATGCCAAAATGCCAAGTGTCTCTAGATCAAACAGATGAAGTCACTCTAGGAGACAAAAGTCAAGTGGCCAATCTTGTAGGCCGCCTACAACACAATCTTTGTCATATTTCATTACTAGGTGGCCAAGATCTTGAACTACTGTCGGACATGGACCCTGATAGTCTCGCTGATATTGTTACTGACAGGGACAACAGAATAATCTTGGAACATATCAAGGAGGCATCTGGAAGGTATGTTTTTACATGCATATTAAATCTATTTGTATCTCGTATGACTTAAATAAAATAAAAATTGAAGCTAAATAATTTTAATTTGTTTGTAATAAATGTAACATTAAATTGATATTTTTCACAAACTATTAGGCAAAATGTTTTTAGTCTAAAGTAAGTATTGATTTTTAATTTTGTTACAGAATTTTATTAGAAAAACGTCAAGCTCAAGATGCAATGGAACTGCTAAAGCTATATCATCAAAGTGTTGCTAATGGGACAGAAGATGTGTCTCCACCAAAACAAGAGAGAGTGTAGAATGTCATCAGAATAACAATGGTAACCCACTAAATTAACCCTCGATTTATTTTTAGGGGATGGTACATCTCAAAAGTTTACAAAGACTTACTTACTTTCCAGTAATTTGTCTGACCGCATTTATTTGCAAAATATTATTTCTTTCTTAACCAGAAAGTTTTATTTAAAAAAAGGTTCAATTTAAACATGTTAATCTAATTAAATAGTATTTACTGTTATTGAATTATTTGATACACCAAGAGAATGAGGCCTTTTTTTCTAGTTTATAATAAGTATTTGAAGCTTTTATATGAATATTATACAAGGGTAGATTTGCTTTGTATTGAAATTTAGAAATCCCTGATCCTGAGTGATTAGACTTTAATTCATTCAAGCTTTTAGCTAAATTTACTGCTATAAGAAATTAAGTAAATAACAGTCAACCTAAATCATCTAAAATAAAAATTATTTCATATTTTAGTTAGGGCTAGGAGGGGGTTAGGTATAAAAAGGTAAGTAATGTGATGCAATTGTGGGAGTTAGTTATTATAAGACGCTAATCTTATGAATATGAGCTAAAATCGAAAGGTAATCATATACATACTGTCATTTTAAGAATTTATGTAATTATAGTGTTGTGGGCATTTATCATTGAGTATTTCATAATACATTCCCAGCAAAATTCTAGTAATTCAGTAGTTTCATGGTAATTAAATTAAATTATGTGTTAATGTAAACTAAATTGGTACCTATTTTGTATACAAAATGCTGTGTTTAATCATTTGTTTTCATATTTAGAACATCAGGTATGGTAGTATAAGTATTATCTTTAGTATACTTATAACAATACGACAATAGATATGCTAGAAATTAAGCATTTATTAATAAATTAGGATTTGATTTATTGTGGATTTAATTTTGAGCTTTTTGTAAACTTTTGAGGAAAAATTTGCCGCAAGGTTGGTAAACAACATCAATTCAAAAGACTGATAGTGGTAATTTTTTTTTATATAGTTTTACCCCTAGAATAAGATTTGTTATTTTGATTCCAAGTTTGCTCAAACAATTTACAAAAAGATATGAAATAATTTCATCTGTTTGATTCTACTGCCATAGCTTGAAAATCAGGATGGAAATCATTGCATATAGTAAACCTTTAACAATGTTGGGGTATAATGTTGGAAATAATTGTATGATGCCAAAAATATTTTTTCCTCATTTGGTTTAAATTATTTAAGTTCACAACTAAAATGTATTTATTAAGTTTTATTATCATGTCTATACTGTGTTCTCCTCAAGTATTTATGATATGTAGTTAAATACTTATACGTCATAGACTGCTGTTAAGAAAGCCACAAAAACTTCAGCAAAGTTGTGAACAGTTTCAAAACCTAATTCCAATTATCTACATATTATGTAATTTAAATTACATTACTGGATATTACTAATATTTAACAATTATAATACTAGCTGTAGTTGTATTGTTTTATAAAGAATAACTAGTGCACTTATTAAATTCAAGCCAAATGTAAATAGAGGTGGTGATAAACATGCACATAGCACATTTCTATTACAATGTTTTTAATTATTAAGCACTGTGATAAAAACAGGATTATGAGTAATATGATGGAAATAACTGCAAATATTTTTTTTATAGAAAATCCAAAATGTAGTCTGTAACTTGCTAGTGCATGTATCAATAGTAACCTGTTAAAAGATTGTATTATGTATCCTGAAATCTTGCATAAACATATTTAGATATGAAATAATATCTTACTGTTAATCTTTATATTCCTGTATTTGTCCTTCGTAAGCATAATTTGGAATCTCCTGTATTTTTAGTTATATTCCAACCAAAAATGTTATGGGATTACATACATTGTGGAATTGTTAACTTGCAATATTTCCTAATAGTGGAATTGAGGAGTAGTATTATTGTACCTATAATATTATGTATTAATTTCTTATGTGCACAAATATACATAGCAAATACATAATTAAATTTATTTTATTTCATCTTCCAATATTATACTAAAATAAAACCATCACTACATGATTAAAATTTTAATTATCTGTAACCACAAGAAAATAATAAATTAGATGAATACATACATTAACTTGAACTGATTACATTACACTATTATATGAGCAAAATATTACTTCAGAATCTTTACATAATAAGTATACATATATCTTTTAAAAATATGTATTATTATTTAACAATCATTTTACAAACAAATATTTGTCTATAATAATTATGAAATTTAAAAGAAGTCAATAAATCATATTAGAATACTATAAATAGTAGTTTCAATCAGAATCCATACTAAACCTTGTTGTGATAGACAATTCCCTCTGTTATATCACTATTCAGATAAACACATTTTCTTCAAATGTTTTACAGAACGGTACAAGAACTTTTTTCGCGGAAAGGATTTACTTTCTGACTCGAAAAACCAACGAGCAAGCAGTCTTCTTGCTCGTGTTCATTTATAAACTTCACAATGTCTGCCACAGCTGCAGAAACTGGAATGCGTTTTATGGCAGCTTCTCTTCTCAACTGCTCAGTTACAGCACGCTGCTGTTGCAGTGTGGACACCATCATATCCATAACGGCAGTATCTGAGAGGCCTATGTTGGTGGCGGAATAACACACTTTGACGAATATGAATAGGGCGTAGCCGAGCGTAGTCCTGAAAGTAAATAACAATAACCTGATTCAATACTTCGGGACACAACACAAATAAACCAAATATAAGTTAAAAATGTAAAGCTTACTGGTCACTGGCGACCAGACGGTGCCTTAAGTACAATAAATTAGTCTAATTTGTTAGTATGGGCTGAAATTAATCAGGATTTGACAACAGTCGCAACTTCGCAACAAAACGCAAGATGACGGATGAATGAATGAATGATGGCTGACTACTCTATTGTCTATGAAATTAGGGTTGGCATTTTAAAATACGCGCAGATTCTTCAAACGTATCGTATCGGAATCGTACTGTTCACAAAATTATTGTTTGTTCCGGCGTTTCTTCTCAGCACTTGCCATATGTTTGTCTCGAAGCGCTGGTAGGGCCCAAAAGATAAGGAGACATGTAAAGTGCCCCATAAGGGCTACCTTTTTCTTTTTTTATTATTTCCTATTGACGTTCATAAGTGCCACTTGTGGTCTAAATATTTTTTGATTTTGATTTTTGATTTTGATTGAAAATTAAATAAACACTGAATTTTAACCACAGAATAAGTAATAGTACCATTTTAACCTAATGTTTTTTTTTATTAACTTGAAACAATCAAACTGCTTATTAAGGCGGCAATCGAAACCGATAGTATAATAATAACCCAGTATGATTGTAACGCCCTCTTGTAACTCCGCTATGTACTCACGGCCACACTGTTAACTATCCATTTCCGTTTTTGCTCTCGCTCTCATCAAATGGTGATTCTTTGCGATAGAACGAGACGACATGACAAGCAATGGATAGTTAACACTGTTGCCGATGGTACGTAGCAAAGGCGCAGTTTTTGAAAGAGCTTTCTTATCAATAAACTAAAATAATAGATGTTAAATTCTTCATAGCAAGCTTTATTAATAATATAGTAACGTTTTAGTACATAATAATATGTTCTTAAACAAAATGTTACTTCCAAATGTAAAACTTTACGAGGTGTAAGACACAGATGACAATATATTTATAAATCGAATATTTTAATCTTTTAAAATGTGTTGGTAAGCGCATTACTCAACAACCCCTGGATTGACCCCTGGACCAATTTTACCAATTCTTTCTTTCAATGTTCGTTGAAGTCCAAGGATTGCTTTTACGGCGAGATTTGCACAATTCATCCCCTTTGATAAAACGGAGTCCACGCGTACGAAGTCGCGGGCGGCCGCTAGTTACTAATACATCTGTATGTTCGCCAGCAAATCAAAATATAATAAAATTACAAATTTCCTCAACATCCATCTATAAAAAATAAACTTAGTACATTTAATTGACGACTAGTAAAAAAAAAGGTAATACTAAAATGGTTTTGCATGTTTATAACAGTTATCTATTTTGATGTTTGCCAACCTGCTCCTTACACCCTGTACAATAAATAATTAATGTGTTTGTGTTTAGAGATTTATATGAAAAAGCAATCAAACTGATAAAAACCCAGATACACACTAAATAGAAAGTAATAACATAAATTAGAGGTCATACATTTCGTTTTTTGAGACCATAATGTGCAAATTTTGTGAGTTGTATAAATTATATGAACATTATTTATTTATTGTGAAGAATATTAATGGATTGTATTTATTAACTAGAGGCCTTGGCCGCCTGACGTCGTTTTACATCCCAATTGTACACTCTAGCCATATTTACTTCTGTTGTAGTCCATTGATCCCTGGAATCAAGATATAACATTCATTATGATTTTATGTAACAATGTCTGATTTCTATTGACAATAAATAAATATTGAAATAAATGACATGTTATCTAACATAGATTAAGCTAGGGTAGAGTAATAAATCTTTATGTAATTGTCATGGAAAAGAATAATAAGAACAGTTATATACCGTAAAAAGTCCAAGTCATGCTCCACACACTCTAAATTTTTCTTTGCTGTGGCCATATTTGATGACAGTAACTTTTCTGCATCTTCTAATGTATATTCCAACATCACATTAGCTCCTAACCACAAGTTTACAGTTTTAGTTGGTGGTATATTAGCCTGAAATAAAGTATGTATAATAAAATTTATAAATTGCAAAAAATAATAATGATATAAAAAGTAAAACTGGTAAAAACCAAAGACATAATAATTACCTTTACAAATACTTGGTCACTAAGTAAAAACTGTGTTTCCATTTCATCAGTTTGACTTTTTAATTTTTCAATCATTTCCAGAGAACGGGACAAATCTGGTATTTGCTGGCGCAGACGCCTTCTTTTGGTGGCCAAAGTATACTCCATAAACTTATATTTGCCATGTTGTTCATCCAAACTTCTCAAAACCTTATCCACTCCCCCAGAATTTTCAGGCAAATTCATAAACTCATCCACATTGTCCTGAAATAAAATAAATGGTCTTTGTGTACAGTATACCTACCTAAGATTTACTCAAGCAATCTGGCTGTATGCTATTATAATACAAACAATGACTTCTGTTCACTTGTAATCAACAATTTCAATACAAATGAATCATTTTTAGTTTATATTAGTTATTAATTGTACATACAGTTTTAGATGCGTTTTAGTTGTTTGAAATAAAGCTAAAATAGAAACAGGTGCGCAAGTTCAAGAATATTTCTAACCTAAAAGTTGCAATTCGATACCAGAAAATTAAACCGTTTATAAAGCTAATCTTGCTTTAGAATAAACCTAATGAGAATATTTTTAATATGTTAAAGTAACTTACAACAAATACAGCTTCGGGGATTCCTGAAAATGACTTCGAATTTGGTTTAGAATTTTCGGCCCCGTCTCCGTCCATTTTTGATTATTATCAAAATGTTGAATTATAGCCTAAAATTATTTCAAAAATGTATAACAAAATTAATTGATACCAATAGCTAAGGATTAATCTATTTATACAAATTAATTTAAAAATTACACACCAATTACTACCGCTAGGTAGTCAAAGTACTTTTGACCATAGAGAAAAGTAANTAATTTATGTAAAACGTTAAAGATTTCCTGGCCTGGACTTGGTATTACATGGATCTCACAACTTTTTACCGTAGAACAACTGAGTTGCGAGACTTGGTTTTTTTGACAAGTATTGTTTTTGATGGAATATCACTTTACACATAGTTATTTGGATACTTAGATCGCTGTTATGTTAGTTAGATCAGTTTACACATTTTTTTCTCACCACAAAATTGGTGTATATTGATATAAGTAAAAATTTTTGGACGATTTACCCTAAATAACCTGAAATAATGATTCCTCATAGTGTAATTACTTATGTTTGTTTTACAACTTTTTCTAAAATTGAAGAAACAAAAAAATATCAACAGAAATGGCGGAAATTGTATCACTTTACACTTGTTAGCGTGTGGTCAATTCAGTGTGGTGTAAAATGATTTATGTCCCATTACATCACTTTACACGAATGTAAAGTTGTCGTGCACACTATGAGGTCTCACAATGCGCGTGGACGCACATAATGACACACGAACCAATCAGAAAAGCTCTATTCAACGCTGTGCGTTCGATTTGCTGCTTCACTTAAAGCAAGTATCGTTTGTGAATACGGGTATTAAAGCCCAATCAAATCGATTTTCTCAAGTTATACTTATGCTCGCCCGATCAGAAAACTTCGTTATACGATTACCATATTTTACCTAAACCTTATGTAACTCACAGGCATCAAACCCTGGACCTCCCGAAGGGAAGGAATAGCAATTATTTTCTCATACACATCGTATTAAATATTATTTTATTGCCCACTCATAGTGAGGTGCCGCCGTTTCGGATATGGATACGAAAATGTACATACGAAGGCATACTGAACGGTGTGTCCTAGTGGTTCAAGAATCGAACACTCTTGACCAGAGGTTGGGGGTTCGATTCCTAGATAGTGCCAATTAATTGAAACATCGTCGTGCGAGATATCAGATAAGATATTAGTCAAAGTCAAATCTTTGTTTGTATAGACTAATTAAATAGTACTTACAAATCGTCAAATATTTTGCTCTTATGGAGGCTCTACATAATATGTGTCATATAATTTTTTTACCAGCGCTTTGAGCAACATATTTGGCAAGTAGAAGAAGCGCCGCAACAAACTCATTCACCGCTGTCTGCCGGTTGATCAAAACCTATGTATAAGGGTACAACAAAATCATTTCAGTAGTTTTTTCTTGACAGAGAAAGAATTTTATTCATCTTCAAGTATTTTTAAGGACGGGTACCTACTTGATCGGACAATTTGCAATTACGAGGTTTTTTTTTATCCACAACGAGGAAGTTCTTGGCCTGTATCTCACCTGATGGTAAGTGACGATCAGGCCGAAGGTGGAAGCGAGCTTCACCCGGAATCCTCAACCACGGAGGAACTGGCTATCTTACCTCTAACTGCCGGAAGACAATCTGTTAACATTGTTGTATACTAATTTTCTTCCAAAGTATATTTCCCTAACTATTCCCATCACTACGAAATACGCAATTCGTCTGAGTGTACGCCTCTGCGTGGTTTATAGCCACTTTATTTTTGAAGTACGACTGTACTAAACATGTTGTTAGCCCCGGAATGGCCCAGTAAAATAGGATAGCAGTTATGGACCGAATAAACTTCGTGCAGCAATTTGTTATTGAAATTAAAGGTATAAAACGGTAATGGTGTTTTTTCTCTTGATCTGGTCAGGGGTTTCTCTTGGGGGATAGAAAGAAGGTTGCTAAATTAATTTACCTAAGTCTGTCGCTATAACAGCAATGTTAACAGCATTGTTGTGTACATACATTTGTTTTGTGATTTCATACATTTATATTATACCTTCTTCATCATCATCATCGTTTCAGCCACAGGACGTCCACTGCTGAACATAGGCCTCCCCCGATGATTTCCAAACTGACCTGTTGGTAGCGGCCTGCATCCAGCGCCTTCCTGCTATATATTTATGAGGTCGTTTGTCCACGTTGCGGGTGACATACACTTATCTATATCTATAAAAGCGAAAGGTCACTGACTCACTGACTCATCACGAAGTCTCACAAACTACAAGTGCTAGGAGTCTCAATTTTGCATGGGGGTTCCTTTTAGAACGTAGGTGCTCACTAAGACGGGATTTTGCAAAATTCAAACTCTAAGGAGGTAAACCAGGATTGACGCGTAGGTACGAAGTCGCGGGCAGTCACTAGTTTATATCGTCAGTGGAGTTGTAAAAATGCGTAAATCAAAAATTAAAATTTTACAGGGAATTAGGTATCTGCTTGGAAAAAAACACTTCAGTCTTCATCCAATGGCATGAAAATGTTAAAACCGTCAATATTTTTTTTCTGAACTTCACTGGATTTATAAGAAACTAGCTTTTGCCCGCGGCTTTACCCGCGTGAAATTTAGTTTGTCACTGATCGTCATAAATTATTATTCTGGGTTATAAACAATAATACTGTAAAGTTTCATCAAAATCCGTTCAGTAGTTTTTGCGTGAAATAATAACAAACATGTTAACATCCAGATATCCAGACATCCATAAAAACTTTCGCATTTATAATATTAGTAAGATGTGTTCAAATTAATACTCTCACATGGCAAAATGTAGGTAGTAGGTAGGTATAGTTTCAGGCTTCGTATTTTCTACTCCATTTTTTCAGCCAGTCTCCCGAAGAAATGTAAAATACAATATGTATTCCAACAAAGACAGAAACTACGGCCGCCATATTAGCCTCGGAGGGTAGAGTCCCGAGGGACCCCTCATAAACATGTTTACATGTAGGGAACTAGATGTTTTGGATACTTTATTGTTTCTACCTCGTCTCAATGTCAACAGGTACATAATTTATAAGCACACGTTTGACTTTTTTTGCAGAACAAGGCAGGTATTTGACCGCGATCGCAACTGATGTTAAAATTATATGAGATGCAGTCTAGGTACATACCTGCCCTGTAAGTAATTCTCACCTTGAAGAGGTCCAGATTATAGTGTTATTGTAGTCAAATCTATTGTAAAAACCTATTAGAAGTCAGAGCATATGAAACTTGACATTGAATGGACAGACCGACACTAAAAACTATTTTTATGGATTTATTAGTAACTAGCGGCCGCCCGCGACTTCGTACGCGTGGATCCCATTTTACCCCCTTAGGGGTGGAGTTTCGTAAAATCCTTTCTTAGCGGGATGCCTACGTCATATTAACATCTACCTGCATGCCTTTCAGCCCGATCCATCCAGTGGTTTGGGCTGTGCGTTGATAGATTACTATGTCAGTCAGTCAGTCACCTTTGAGTTATTTATATTTAGATTAAATTTGTATTGCACAAATTACTTATAGTCCTGTTAGTCCCTTGTGATAAGCTAAATATTATATGCTTATGTTACTAGTGGGCTCACCAGAATAGATTAGAAAATCAATAAGGTTAAAAAAAATACTATTCCCCAATTCCTCCTTTTGTTGAAGACGGTTAAAAACTGGTCTGATCCGAAAGAATGTTAGGTGCTGAAATAAAATAACTTTTTGAATAGAAAATGGTATTTTAAAAAAAATCTAACTTTATTATCGCTGCCTTCCAGCTCCATCAAAAGATCAAACCCTGGATATCAACCAAGAATAACTGTCAAGACAAATCATTTATGAGCCCAAACTCGATAGGGTTACATTGTTTCGTCACAGAGTTCCTATGGCGACCTTCCTGCTCCTTCATCAGACAAGCTCTATAACGTCATTATACATATTGCATCATCTGAGTTAAATGGTGTATGAAAAATTTCAACTCAATTGGTTTTCAGGAAGTGGATCTTATTCAGCTACATCAAAACACTACCCCCCAAAACTGCAATAGGGTAAAAAACCTAAAACCGTCCAATATGAACAAATTAAATTACCCCAGCCATAACTGCTCCCACCGCGAATCGAACTGTAGACCTCCCTGCCCGACTGTAATTTACGACCATCTGTCACTCACATATTAGCCGCTAGGGCTGGCGATTGGAAGAAAATGTGGAGTTATTTTTGTTTGAAAAATAAATTGGGCAAACAAATAAAAAAAAGTTGATTACTATGTGCACTTTATTTGATAAATTTCCGATTTTATTGAATTGACGATTATTTGAAAAATTTACTTATGTTACAGGAAGGTGAAACAAAATGGTTCATGATTTTGCAATTATTTTTGCTATAACTAAAAGCCACAATGTAAAAATAAGATTAAGACACACTTTATTTAGATTATTTCAACGACATTCATAAGTTAATTTCTATAATTGCTTCCTGAAGCTATATTTTTTTTTAATTCAATAAATTTTTCAGCCTCATTACATAACGAGTAGGTACATAAAATATTTATTTACACACTAAAACTAAAGAAATCACACACAAAGTTAAAAAAAACTAGGTACTATACAGTCAGAAGATCCTAAACTTATTTTATTTTATCTTATTTTCGACAGTGTTTCTTAATGGCAACCCTGCGGCAATGTTCCCGAGTGTTGCCAGCTCGTTCCTTATTCACCGCGACATTTACATTCCGCGCGCGGATCACTTGACCTGCGTCTGAAACCCATCTTCTAATTGACGTGTACACTGTACACGCTGCTTTTGGTAAAAAAATAAAAGAAAATAAGAAAAACTGACAAAGGATATATGTAGATTGTGTAGTGTCTGAGGATAAATTTGTAAAAGTGACTAAAGTAATGTAAATTATTTGAAATGGCAACTTTTTTGGGCAGAAGTCAGTAAAGCACATAATAATGATTTTATCACTAATTTCGTTCCAAATTTTTTTACACAAAAAGTCATTATACATCTTTAATAAGTTCTGGCAGTTAGTCAAAACAGAGTGTGTATCGACTATGTTACGACACAAAATCATTAATGGACAATAATTACTTTAATGCTATAAAAATTGACGAAACTGGATCTAACAAGTTTTAAAAAAATAAATCTCCCAAAGTACGGCAGATATCCATTTACTGATTTTTGCATAATATA